AAAAGCCTGTGTGACTTCAAGCACCTCCTAGACTCTGACTTCAGATGAGGCAAAAAAACCTGCACTAAATGAGAAATAAGCAAAATTAGCTAAATGGCTTCACGTATCAAGCATGGCACTACCAGACAGAAACATCTACTTAGATAATGGTTTGCAAAGATTCATTATGGGCAAGAAACAGTCTTAAAACACTAACGAGTCTTCTGAGGCAACATGTTCTCTTGATACGTATTTCTTCAAAATTCAGAACCTCATTTTCAAAATTTTACAAATGAATGCACATTAGGAGTCCTTGCCCTGAAATAAACCTTCTGGAAGTGCTGGCATAGAAACATCTCACAAATTCCATGTTTAAGGTTTGATATCTCAGCTATGTCAAAACAGTGGGAAATAATCTCAAAAAAAAAAAAAAAGTTTTTGGAAAACAACATTTTTCTAATGATTTTTTAAAATGTGGTTTGGCACCACTTAAACTGACCTTCAGGATAAAGTTAAACTCTGCCCTCATTAAAAAGCTGAAAACCTGAGCTTCAAAAGCACTATAATGTCTAGCTAAACATGACTGGATCAGATAAAGCTCCTGATAAAGGAAATAAAGTTCATTTCTGATTAGCCTGTATCTTCTACCAACCTGAAATGCAGTAGCTAGACTGCCAAGGAGAAAACAAAAACCTTGAAAGAAAAAGAATTTTTCTGAACAAGTCACAGCTGTTAGCTGGGCATCAGTGACAACATATTCAAGGGGATGCTTCCCATGCTCTGTGTGCTTGGAGAGTCATTGATTCTCTTCCACTGTTACAAGCATTCAGAACTCCTTCTTTCCACCCTTTAAATCAGTTTTATAGCACGGCACCACCAAAGTCCTGCTCAAAGACAGAAAAAGCTCTGGACGGTTCCTTGGGTTCTTTTAGCAATTCTGCCATGCCATGCAGTGAATCTGTGATTCAGGTCAAAAAAAGTGGAGGTGAAATCAGACCAAAAAAAATCTATCTAAAGACATAACAAAAAACATGGAAATAAAAAGTAAATACCTTTTCAAGCATCAACTTCACAACTGGGTCTCAGGTTTCCCCATTAAGCTGACACCTGAGAGCACTAAAATCTTTAAGATTTTCAGGGGTTTTCAATCCTTTTCAAGGGTTTGTTTGGAACAAACAGCAGAAGAATTGATCATTCAGTCTCCTGCTCTACTTATAAACCTTCAGCCCCCTTTTTTCAGTCCAATTCTAGACATTCACAAATTAAAAAATTAAAATAAAATTAAAAGCTTTGACTGTGAGCACTTAACAAAGGGTTAGGTGAAGCCACCAGCAAGACTGTTGCTGATTCCATATGCAGTAGCATCAGGTCTCAGTAGCAAAAAAAGTCAATGACAAATCTTCCACTGACTTCTGGGAATGTAAATCTCCATAGCTATGAATTTGACTTTATGCCTATGCTACATGAAAATAATTCTGCTATTAAAAAGCAGGATGCTCCATCTGGCCTTTTCAAGCATCAAAGGCAATGTCTACAATACACAGAAAATGTGGACCAGCAGGAGATAAAAGGCTGGGGCTGAGGACTTCAGGTCCATGCCACGCACCTTCAAAGAGGTTTTCATTTCACTCTAGCCTAGACCTGTGGGTTCAGTGCCTACCAGACTGTGCTTCTCTAGCACACATCTTCCAACTCTGTTTCATTTGAAAGGAGCCCATGAGCTCTGGGACTGCTCCACAAGGCATACACTATGTGGGGACAAGTCGGAGATGTATTTCCAAAGCACACTCCTAACACAATAATGTAGATGCATCCCAAGAGCTTAGAACATGTTCCTGCATGAACACCTCTAAAATTAAGGAGTACCAAGGTGATGAAGAGGTTTACCTCCCTCTCAGTTAACAGGACTCAGCCTTCAATGCACTTCTCACGCATGCAGCAACCTACAGTGAAGACGAGTTTTACTGCAGCAGGCACTGCGTTTCTGATTCCAAAGATGTTCACTTCCCAACTGCTCTACCTTGTTACCATCAGGATTTTTATTCAGTCAGCTCTCCACATTTGAAAGCTTTTCTATGTAGCTGAATGTTTTTCTTCCATACGAGTTTGTCAGTCTTTACTGTCTGTTTTATTGACGAGAGTCTTCTTTCCTTTGCTTTGCAAAGTACACGTTATAGCATTTAAAACATCATCAGATGTCTCATCTGCTTGTGATAAACTGCTCCTTGCCCTCTTCACATGGGCTCTCCCTCCCCCTTCCCAGTTTTATACTAGTCAAAAAGATTTACTTCTCTTTGAAAAAATAATATCTAAATAAATACATTGCGAGTCACAAACATTAAATACTTAATTTGAACCGGCAGAAAGAACAGCTACTGGAATTCTACAGTGGTCTGTTAGCTCATATGTCTCTGCATGTGCATATTGAAGGAAACAGCAGAAATAATACTTTGCAATTTGATGAACAACATATGACACAGAACCTCTAGACTCACAAAAAAAAAATAAAAAAAAATAGGGTTACAAACATAGGAAAATACCTGCCATATAGAATTCTGCTCTCTCCAAGAAAAAAAGAGACCCTACACACTCCTTACTTTTACTGATTAAGAACTGCCCTCATTAACACTTGATACATGAATAAATAAACAGGATTAAAGAAGAAAATAATCACTAAAGAGTTAACTGAAGTCTGGATGACAAAAAGGGGCATTTTCTGAGTACATGTTGGATGTCAAAACAGAAAGGACGATACTGTATCATCTGTTTTTAGGCAGATTCCTCCCTTGATTTTAGCTGTAAGCTTTGCTTATAGTTGGCACTGTGATGGCTTATAATAATTTAACCATATTTCTTTCTGGAGCAAAATATAACATCATTCTCCATTTCACCATGCACAGAGGAGAAACCCATGAACCTAACTTAGACTGAAAAGAGAGGAGAAAGGAGGGAAAAAACATATACTTTGTTCTTACAGTCTACAGAATTAACTCAATGCATGCTGCAGATAGGAGCGTTATCTCTGAAAATCACAAGAAACAATCATATTGTTGGAACAAGCAAGTAAAAAGACTGTTTTCAAAAGGCACAACAGTAAAGCAATACCAAGTTTGAAAAAACACTTTTGATTAAAAAAATGAGTGAAACTGTCTCACAATGAAGAAAATGCATACACCTACTAAATAACCACTAATTCCCATTTCTGCAAACTCAATTCTTGACCTGACAAACAGCCCATACTAAACTTAATGCTCTGCTGATCCTGCCTATTCTTTCTTCCTCATAACAGCTCAAAACCAAAGGGGAAACATTCTAGCCTAAAAGATGCCACAAGCCTTATTTTAGCCCTTTTCACTGAAGATTCACCTTAGTTTCTGACTCTTAAGTGCTGGGGACAGAAAAATCTTTCTAAAACTTCAGACCCCTGCTTTTTCCCTTTCTGCAAAGCTCAACCACTGTTGTGCAACTGTTACACATTCCTAATTCAGTGAGGATGATCTGTCCCTGATCAATCAGTCTCATAAACCAGCTATTTCTGCTGCTTCCCCTGGGACTGCACCCAAGGTGTGTATCAAGCAACACTCAGCATCCATATGTGCAAGGTCCAAGCCAGAGGGAGTGAGCAGACAGTAACCAACCTATGGTTTACCACACTTCGCACTTGCCTTCTCCAAGCTGCCTTTGAGAAGGCTACCAGCATAGGTACATTTGAACATGCCACCTTCTTCCGCACGTCCTTGAAATCTGCCTGACTTAAAAACTGCAGGCATTAAACAATACAACTAGTGTGTAATGGTCTGTTTTCGCCAAAGAAATATCCTGGGGTGTTGTATCACTGGCCAACACAACAGAACTAGTCCTTAAAGTGATTGTTAAAGCCATTTCTCCTGTGTTTAGCTGTGGATACTCTGAAGAACCTCAGCTGTAGTTTTAGGTACTTTAGAGTGCTGTTTGAGCTTTTGCAAGCATATTCTTCTCCAGCTGTGTTAACATCTATGCAAAAGAACTGAAAAAAATGAAGGGGAAAATGACAGGACTGCAGAGAGGAAAGAGAAGGTAGAGCAAAAAAAACTGAGATAGGGAGAGGTGGACTTGAGAGAGAAGTTTAAAGAAAAATGTTGACTGATAAAGGGAGAAGGAACTAGAAAAGGGAAATCAGAAATGCTAACTTGTGATGGAGCCACACTTTCGAAACTTCTACTATCCGATCATGTTTTCCAAGTGACAACGCCATCACTTTTCTTTTTGAAAGCCTTTGTGAAAGACACACAGAGCAGAGGTGCATGAGGTAGACTCTCATTAGCTGTAAACATCAGCAAGAACTCAGAACTTCAAGTATCAGAGACTGAAATCTTCCCACGGTCAAAGAATCAAAACGTGTGTCCGACAGCCACGTCTACAGACTAAACGGACAGGGAAAGAGGAAACTTCATGAAACATGTTACTAGTCACTATGATTATATGAGGCATGAGGATGGCCCACAAAGGCAAAACTAAACTCTTAAGTATCCTGTGATTAAATTTTGTACTTTCTCACTGGATTTAAGGAAAATATGCTGTGTTTTCAGGCAATGTAAGACAAAGACCCTTTCAGTTTTTAAACATTATCTTGTGCACACTAAATCTGAATGTTATCACCTCTCTTAATCACCTTCTGATGTCTGATAGTGCCCCTTTAACCTCTGTTACTCAATTACTAAACAAGTTATCTCATTGTTACTCTCTTTTGAAGGAAGAGTTGTGCCTCTTTTCATGCTGATAAGAGACACATAAATATTCACTTCCAGCAAACATTTAATAGTAAAGTGTCTTGAGTAAACTACTAGAGTCTAAAGGTAGGAAGCTGTGGTTAACTTCTCTAACTTAACCCTTTAGTCAACCCAGCAGAACAAACAGATATAGAAGATGGATGCTCTTTTTTTACAAAGAAAGCAGAAATAATTGGCCTCTAAAAGAATGGACTTTCTAATACGTTTCATAACACAGCAAATAAATCAAATTATTGGAAGTGAAATACTTACCCATTTTCTGGGCCGGCCTCTTGGTCGCTTTTCACCAGTGGCTTCTGCTTTCTGTAAAGGGAAAAGAAACACAACATATTTTAGACCTCAGTGTTATTTAACAGCCTCAGTAACTAGGAACTCCTTTCCTGTAACATTATCCACAATTGTAACTCTCGGGTGGTACCAAGCCCCCCTCTTGGTCTATGGTTTTCTGGTGGAATGTGTTTATGTTGTTTTTTCTGCCATTCCTAGGCAGTATGGCCAGGGGATGCCTCCTCGCCTGTACCCAAGGGTACCACCAGCCCTGATCCATGCTGTGTCCAGGGACAGAAAGGAGCGTGCCCCCACCACAGCCTGGGGTGCCCAGCACTGGCCAGACATGGGGCATGCAGGCTGTGGATGGGGATGCAGGGCAGCTTGGGAATCCCAGAACCTCCAAAAACATCAAATCTAGTCTTTCACAGGCTGTCAGAAATTACCTGTAGATACTAAATGAAAATCACAGCTTGTTTCAAGTCTGAACAAAGCAGTTTATAGCAGCCACAATTCCTTATTTTAGTTTCATGATGCTCATGCATGAAATGGATTTGGACAGATTATCAACATGAATGTGTGTGTGTTCATATTGGGTGATAACTCCTCTAATTCAGGTGAAGTTTTCCAGGCAAAAATGCATCCTCGAGCTGCAACTAAACCTTTCACTGGTTCACAACACACCTTCCCTTTTCATGTTTGAGGAAACAGCATGGAAGGTACCCTAACAGTGTTAGGCTGGATAGGGCTTTCAGCAACCTGGTCTAGTGGAAGGTATCTTTGCTCATGTCAGGGAGGTTAGAAACTAGATGATCTTTAAGATCCCTTCCAACCCAAACCATTCTATGATTCTACATTCATGTAAACCCAGTAGTTGGTCCTGGTGCTCACCTTAAAGGAAATACGGGCTCTCGTAAGAGACTCTTCCATTAATTCACTGTGTGACACTATAAACGCTACTACTTCTGTGCTACACTGAAGTATTTACAGGCTTTAAAGTGAAAACTGTGCATTATTTTCCTTAGATAGGCTCTGCCCATCCACATACCTGTCTATAATAACCCTGTCTCCCTGAGGATGATGAGGATTTTGCCACCAGCTTTAGTGAAAGCTGGACTTTGGCTGCATCCAAAGTCTTTTAGAATGAAGACTTATAGTACACATTCAGTAATTGTGCTTCCACATTTTCATGAATTGTCTTTTTTTTTTTTTTTTTTTTTTTTTTTTTTTTTTTTTTTTTTTTTTTTTTTTTTTTTTTTTTTTTTTTTTCCCCTAGTTAACTGTATGTGTATTTGATTTGCCCTTAGAAATCAACTGTGCCATTAAATAAATCACTTGCCGGTCAATCTCTGTAACAGACACTGTAACTTAATGCTGTGGAAAGCAGATCCCTCTAAAAGAGAACTTGAGCTGAGGAAGCAGTGGAGGAATCTCTACAAAAAGCTGCCCTGCAAGTTAAATGCAATTACTTTGAAATAAGTATCTCACCAAGAAGAAAGCTGTGAAAAATAAAATTCACGCTCCTGAAGGGCAAAATTATCACTCAGACTTGTTAAAAGAGTAAACTTGCTCTTTAATCATTTATACCAGTGTTCCATGTAAGGTGAAACCCTCTTATGAGAATACCAGTTAAAGTGCATTTACTATACACTGTAGCTGTCTATTTCAGAGTTTCGTCTCCTTTTAAAGCACTCATACCTTATAGAAGGAGGCAAAAAAAGACACGGTTCAGTTTTGACAGGCTGTAGCCCCCTGCATTTATGTTTATTTCATGAAACACTGGCCATAAATCTTAAAAGAAAATATTGGCTAAAATTGTCTTAACAAATCAACACTTGACATGTTATCATTTGTCATTTACTTTCTTCTGTATTGTACCACATCTGAAGGATAGACCCCTTTCCAAAACCCTTATGAAAAAAGATAAATAATTAACTTTTAGGAAAGAAAACCGACTTCAGTCTCTAAATTTACGTTCCTACCAACCTGACATGAATTGGAAATTTATCTACAGCATATAATCTTGTTTGATGGGAAAGAGAACATGAGAGATTTCTTTGAATAACTAATCTTTGCTTCCTGCCATAAACTGTCCAGCAGCATGAACAATGCTTCACTTTACCCCCGAGAAAGGTCCAGACCAGAAGTGGCTAATGTTCCCCCTGGCTAGTTTGGATATCAGTTTGTCAAGTGCTTGGGGACCTTTCAGATTGAAAGGCACTGTATTGCTGCTGTATATTATTTCCACCCCGTGTTAGAAGAAAAACATTTCCACAGTTCTTATCAAAACCCAATCTTTCCCAGAGGTGAGCTGAGCAAACAGCAGGGCAGGCCAGAGATGTTGTTTCGGTGCAGAGCAGTTCTGTAAGTAAATAGGAAGGTTTCCACAGACTAAACTGCAGAAAATTAGCAACAAGAACCTCCAAAGTGGATGTTTTTATCTCCACTCCAAGTGAAGGGAAAGACAAAACACTTCTGGAACAACCAAAAGGAGCAGCGGCAGCCCAGTGGTGATGATAAAGACATGAAATGTAGGAAAATATTCCACCTCTACCTCTGGAATTTTTTTTCTTTTTGCATTTTGCAAACACAGCCCATATTCTCTGCAGCAGAACAAGACTGTCTTTTAATTAAAGCATTTGAAGAAAGGTTTTATTGCGTATCAGACAAATAATCCAGTGTTTCTCCATATAATTTTCAAACCATTAGTAAGAAAAGGAACATGTAAGTGCCTTTCCTTTGAAAAAGGTATGTGCATCATCAGAAACATGCCAGTCTGATGGCTCTTTGCTTTAACTGAAGTGTTGCCTCTGATCCAGAGAGAGTCCTAAGCCACCCAGAGGTAACATGGATTCTAACCTGGGCAGCAAGATACTCATGTTCCCAGCCTCCCTACATGCAGCAGTTGGCACCTGCTTAGTCAGGAAGAAAGCTGCTGTCTTCATCCTCTAAAAACCTTTTTGAAATTGCGATGTGTTGGGTCAGAGTTTTCTTAACATTTGGTGCTACAGTGTGAGGCACGATCTTGCTCTGTACAGCTAAGGCAAGATCACCAATCTTAAAGGAAGGTCAGGTATGGTATGAAAACACTTATCGTAAGTCGTGAAAAGATATGACATTTCATACAACCAGTAATACAAACACATCATACTTCCTATGTTACATTTTAGGAATAGAACTAGATTTACTTGCTTTTAAGCTCACGATCTATAAGGGAGACCAGTTTTTTTTTTATCCCAGGTGAGAAAGATGGCCCCTCCAGTCTGTGCTGTCAGGAAAAAACAGTCTCTAGGCAGATTTGCAATTCACCCAATATCTGTACCACAGGGCCATCAAACCCTGCTACCAAACAGCTGTTGTCAGCGACCCTAGGACTTGACTGCCCATCACCTTGGCCTCCTTGTCACAGAAATGTGCCATGCCCAGACAGAAACTGAGGCTGTACTACTGAAAGCAATTAACAAGACAAGACAAGTATAAATAATTGAATGGCTATAAAGTGCTCTTTGGGCATCTATCTATTGCCAAGGAAGATCTCAAATGCAACAGAATGCAAACTTGGAGAACTCTATCCACTTTGCAAAATGATCTGCTGGAGACCTCAGATAAAATGTGTCAGAGCCATAAGTCAGGTGAAATAACCAAGAGTTCTCAGGAGCAGGATCACTGTTGTCAAAGCATGTCTAAGGACCTTGCCCAGGAATGTGTCCCTCTCCAAAAGTAAAAAAGTTATTTTGTTAAAAAAACCTCTGAAAGCAAACTTAGGTATTGGCTACCTACAAAAACATCACACTCCTCCTGTCCTGTTTTACCCATTTTAATTCTAAACAGGAGTCAGTCTCCTGCTCCTCCTGTCTTGGATCAGAATGCCTCATTTTGAAGTCTCTTATGTTTTTAGGTACAATAACCACACTATAATCACTTGATAAACCTGATCTTGTTTTCCCTTTAAGCCTCTAATGACTGGTGTTGGTGAGAATGAATGAAGCATGGAAAAGCCAAAGAGATTTTCATGAACCATTTTAGGGCAGAGTCCTGGTCACATGCACTTTTTTTTTTTTTTTTTTTTTACCTTTGGACTGCTTAACTCAGGGACGTGCCTTTCTACACACCAAACTCCAGCCATGTAATGTAGAGACAGTAGTTCAGTGTAGTCACACACAGAGTACCACAAGTTCTGGTTTTCAGAGGATATTTCAAGATGTGAAGGTATTTTCAGTGAGTTTCACTACATCAATAATGACAACAAAACTCAAAATCTGCTCACTGAAGGTGAATTTTGTAAAGAGCATTCACTTTTGGATACTCCTGGGATACCCCTCGACTTTTTCTTTCAAGACAAACTCACAGTAGCTAATACTCATTCTTTTTTTAACTTTACAGTTGTGTTTCCTCCTTCCAAACAGGAGAGTATTTATGCCTATACAGTATTATTGTCAAGCTCAACTACAGGAGCTAAACAAAGAAAATGCTTAGGGAAATGTGGTGGGCTGGGAACACAACTCAGCTCAACAAATAAAACTCAACCACAGAACACCCAGGAATCTAAAAAGGAACATCCCTACTAGGATATTCCTGCAAAACTAGTTGTTCTTTGGCGGGGGGGGCGTAAGAAAAAAGAAAATAGCCACTTTTTTGCTAATTTTTGACAAATATTTTAAATGAGTAACAGAATGAGTCATTTAAAGGCACAGATTTCAGTAACAGCCTAATTGTGGGGACTCAAACACAAGGTGATCAAGATCCTTTTTGTGCCTATCTCATCTGCTAACATGTTGTGTTCCTTCTGGTCATGAAAATTATACAATTGAGAAATCGTTTGGTTTTCTGTAAAATGCCATTTTCCTTTTGTGTCCAGTTTATAACAAATGAGGCATGTGTGATATGCAAGGCTTTTTTTTTAATTTAAAAAAAAAAGCACATTACCTAAAATTAGAGTAATTGCTACATTATTAGCCATTCAATTGGTCTTGCAACATTCTGTATGCATTGTCAAGTTTCACATTGCTAATTTCCTAACAAGCACATTTTGTTTTCAGATGCCCCAAGGCCAGTTTACTAAGACCAAATACAAGCTCTGAAAGCCAAAAAAAAAAATTAAATAAAATAAAAAAAACTAAAATTCCCATGAACCAAGACATTTTAAATACACACCACAGCCATGATTCCTGGGTACACTGTCCCTCAATGGATTTCAGGGTATTTCCTTTTTGAAGTATAACAAAACAAAGCCCCAGTTCTGGAGTATTTTTAACTTACTGCCAGTTTGTGCAATACATTTTTAATTGTGATGTGTAATGGTTTGCAAGAGAACACCCAATCAATTAATCATGAGTGCCTTCTCATGGCTGCTCGGTGGGTTCTCCCGGCTGACGTTTATCTTGCATGTTGTGAACACTCTAATACATTTCAATGAGCTCCCTTTGAAACACCAAGGCCACACACTATTCTTTAGAAATTCCAGCAATTTCCAGTTGCGTGTATAGTACCCAGGTTCACATGTAGAGGGGCTTAAGCTAAGTTTGCCAGCTCTCCTTCTGAGAGCTGAGACAGGCTGTAGAAAGCCCTAAATAAACAGATGGATGTGTATGTGTGTATAAATATGTTTACCACAAAATCAAACATACAGCTCGTTCTTTTAAGAGGTGACACCCTCACCACCAAATGAACCTTTCTTACAGTGCCAAAACCTTTCCATTCATATTACTGTTAGAAAAACTATCGGAATGAATATTACATAAAAAGATACTTTGAGATGCCTGGTGAGAAGCTGAACCATTTTAGAGAAGGTTAATTATCAATTTGGAAAAAGAGCTAAAATATTTATTTGAAATGTGATCTCAGTGACTTTCTTCTGGTAAGGCTTTATAAGTGTTTTATGTTTTAGTGGATTTATCAAACATTCATAGACTTTATAAACCTAGAAACAAATAAGACTTGTTATTACAAATCCCTCAAAGGTTTTTTTAATGATGAAAAAGCCATGTGGTCTTTCGTCAATTTTTTTTTCATTATCAACACCTGAAAGATTTTGCTTTATTTAAAGCAGTAACTTGATACGTTCTTAAAATCAAAATGTTATCATGAAATTGCTCGGTTTGTAAATTAGATTAAAAACCCCCCAACTACATGTATAAGAATCATCTGGAAAGCTCTTGATTTTATATACCTACATATATATGAATGGTTCTAAGTTATTTTTCCATTTATACTGATTTCTAAATCACTCATATAAATGAAATAATGTTAATATTTATTTTAGAAATATCTTTAAAAAACACATTTCTATGAATTACTTTAAATTTAATCTTACTACAAATATTTCTCCTAGGAAAGCCAACACTCCTAAGAGTAATATTTAAAATACTAAAGCTTACATTTGGATTTGCTAGGCTAATAAAAAACTCTTCTCTCTTTTGAACAGTGAAATTTAAACTTTTTTGTAGAGAATTTGAGAAACACTTTTACTACATTTAAAAAAAGACATCAACATTTTAAGCTCACTAAGTTGCAGGGTGGCTTTGATATATTTTCAATACTAACTTGCAAAGCATTCTTTACTAATTCATTAACTTATTGATGGAATATACTGGGGTTTTTATAGCTCAGAAAATAAAACTCCCCAATTTTCAATTAAAAGAGAGTTGGAAAACTTCCCTCAAACAAATGCTGAAAACAGTTATATCAAAACAGACATGAAACCATAGTCACCCCCTAATAATTTTATATTTATCAGTAGTTGCTATAGTAATTTATAACACTGAAAACTATCAATCTTAATATGGTCAGTACCACAGCCACACTGAAAAATGAACCATAATTAGATGAGGCCACAAATACCTTCCACACACATTTTGTCACAAATTTACTTAAAAGACACTGATACACTTAAGCCCTACAGTTCACTACCAGATTTGGTAGCTTTTGTTTCCAATTTAGTACCTGTAAATTAGTGCTAACTGCTGTGTAACCATCAACATAAACAAAACTCCCGTATTTGTTTTCAGTCCTGCACAAAACTATGTGCCTTCACTAAAACAATTCCTAGAGAGAGGGTTTTTATTTCACAGTTTTCTAATCCTGAGCTTTCCCCAATTCACATAAAATGCAGTCACCCTGCCACACTGTATTTGTGCTGTAAAGTCCATGCACTAAATGCAGTGGCTTCTCCTATGGCTAAATGCAGTCAGAAGCACCAGACTAGAAGAAGTAGTGGTTCAGAAGACTAATAGCACTTCAAGTAAATGTCTCTTTGAAACTGATTAGTAAACAAGATCTAGAACTCCCAGTCTACCATCATATTTTAAAGCTGTAAATTTCAATATATGCACTTACTTCCATCAACACATAATTGGATTTACTTCTAATTAACCTGTGTTTGACAAAACACTTAGCTTTAATACATAGATTTGGTCTGTAGTAGTAATGACTGTAAGTGGGCAAGAAACTAATCTTCCTCCTTCAAAAATCTTAATCAAGAAAATAATATCTGTAATGTTGATTTCCTTACTAGATACAGGGATCTCGTGTAAATGCATCAAATGCATAACGTTATTTCACTAACCCACACACTATTCAAAAAGCAAGCTACCCTTAGTAGGTTCTGTCCCTAGATTCTTCATGCAGCATGTTGATGCTAATTTTTAAAAATGCAAAAATATATGCTTTATGTAGGTCCATTAAAAGGTTTCAAACCCACAGTGCAGAGCCTGAATTACTAGATTTTTTGCTACTAGCTGATGAGAACCAGCATTAGGAACTCTCTTTCATAATCTCACCTTCTGAGCTGCTTTAGAGGGACTCTTGTTTTTGCTTCCTTTGGGTCTTCCTCTTGGTCTTTTAGGAGATGGTTCACCAGTGGGTTCCTAAATACAGGAAAACATGGTATTGTGGCAAGAGGCTACAAGTAACCCAGAAGGTCTGAAGGATAAACTAAAACTGAAACATTACTTGAAGCATATGATTTAACAGTATAAATAAATAACACAATATTTAAAATGCAGCATGAAAAATGAAACAACTCCAGGTAAAAATACATTTTTGCATAATAAAAGTTTCACTTCCCTTGTAATTGCATAAAAAACTTCGTAAAGTTTGCCTATTCCAGGACATAAGTTACAGCAGAAAACACATTTTTAAAAGAAGATGACTATGATTTCCCTCCTGTAAGAATGATTATTCAAAAAATAATACAGTTGCCCATACAGTTGCCAATTGCATTTCAGTATAGCAAGATACAATTATCATATGCAGCTTCTAGCACAAACTTTTGGGGGAAAGTTAACTACTGGAAAACTGTAAAGTAACCTTTGAGTATTTTCTCTCCAAAGAGCACAAATACTTCGGTTTTGTTTTTTGTTTTAATTGTTCTGCAGTCGGCATTACATTTCCACTTAAACAGAACTGATTTTTAAGTATGAAAGTTTCTTCAAACAGAACACTGGAATGCCAAAAAATCCTCGACAAAAGAAACAAAAACCCAACTCTAAAATGATTCCACAGGAACACTGATTATTTTAGCTATTTTCTTAACTCCTCTGCCTGACAGTAAATAACCAGTCCTTAAACATGGGTATGAATTACTAAGAGTTCAGATTCCAAATATTTATTCAGTGAATCATAAATACTATAAAACTCTTCTAGTCTTAAATATTATACATTTCGTTCAGATTACAGGATGTGGTAAGACTAATTAAATGCAGTTTGTTAACTTAAACCAGCTTAAAACCCTTCAGCTTTTTAATTCCCGGGTAGGTGAAGGGGAGGCTGGCGAGGGGACTCCCTGGCAGCCACTGCACATCTGGGCTGAACACGTTTAAGGAGCAGCACTTTTCTTTCTCTTCCATACATTAAAACGCTATAGGGGAAGGAAAAAAAAACAACACCAACCCAACAAAAACAGGGCGGGGGGGAGATGGGGGGAGGAAGGCAGCCCCAGCTGAAGGGCTGAAGCT